TTGCTTTTATATTTATTTGATACATCTAGTAGATATAAACTTACTGAGTTATTGTGTATTTTTTAGGTTGGTGACTTTGATATTACTTTTCACTCACTTTTTCATGTTGTAATTTTTTTTTACAAGATCATCTGTGAATAAACTCAGAACAATATCCAGAGTACACAACCCAAAGAAATACAGCTAACAGTTCAGTTAAAATAAATGTACAGCTAAGTCTTTCCCTTTTCTCTTAAGTACCTATTAGGATTTCCCCCATGAAACCTAAATCATAAATTTTATTATTTCTCTCTTTTCTTTCCCCGCCCTCCTCTCACATCATCTTGGTATAGTTCCTGAATTCTCAATCCCTCTTTTGCTTGTTGAATGTAGGGATCAGGGACCTGCACCACCACACCTGGCTTGATAGTATTTGAGATGTGTTACTAGCAGATGGATTTACTGTTATAATTGTTAGACTCATGGAAACCTTGTAACGTCAAGACATTGCAAATTGCATTTTAAGTTTTTTAAAGTAAGTTTTTAGGTTAGCATTTAAAGTAAGGAGCTTTGTGATGACATCGTCACACATCTGTCATTATACTCCTGTCCTTCACCCCTCTTCCTCTCACCTCTCTATCTGTCTGGTGCCCTTCTCTGTCCCTTGTTTGCCTGGCTTTTTGTTTTCTTGTTTCATGTTTTACAGTACCTGCTTGATCTCTCACCTCTTGAGAATTTTCTACCTCTCTCATGATCCCTTAACTAGTTCTGCAAACCCCTATGCACAAAAATCTAAAAATTACTCTTTATATGTATATTGGTAACATAACCCTCCAATCCAAAATAGTGACGGACCTTCATTTAGTATGGAGTCTTTCCGAAAAACATTGCGTATTTTACTCAGAAAACTAAAGATTAAAACTTTTCACCATGATTCTTTTTCTAACTTTAGTCAGCTCAATAGGCTATTTTTTTCTTTCTCTTTTATTGTATTAAATGTATTGATTTAGGATTTGTGTCTTCAATCACAAAAACAATTACAGACAATGATAACTATTTTTCTTTGGTATAGATTCATAGTCATTAAGTCACTATTGGTGTGTTCAATTGAAAACTGAAGTTCATATAAAGAAAATAAACTCGATTATTTTGGGTATCCACTTACAATCACTTTTTAGTGGGGGAATATTTGAGTTTTTCAATGACTTAATATTACTGGCAAGATTCAGATGCTGATTAATTGGTTCCATATAGTCTTGAGATGATTAAAATATTTTCTTCTTTAACAAAATGCTGATGAACTTCATTGCCATTTATAAGTGTTCCATATAAATTCCAATATATTTTTGTATCTCAGGTTAAATATGATAATAAAATTGAGTGAATGAGATTTAGAATAACTTTTATATTCTAGAATCTTCACATAGTTTTCTAAGAAAATACTATAAACAGATAAATATAACTAGAACTACTGACATTATTTTTGGATGAAAATTAATTAATTTTTCCAAGGAAATAATAAGTATAATTGACATTGAAGTTTTTCAATATGACAGAAATAACCTTAATCCTGAACAGATATAATGACTGAACAAAAACTTTAAAATTACATAGCCTAAAAAATATGCTCTAAATTTCCCACAATCTGTGCTGAGTAAATTTATTAATATCAAATAAAGAATTATTCGGATAAAATAGTAAATAACTTATTAGTATTGAATTGAAATCCCATTGTGTTGTGGTGGTAACAGAAAATCTGCATCTTCAATTATTTTCTATAGAGTTAAATCAAATAATCAGAATAATTTAGTATTTTAAAAGAGTCAGCAGAACACAATTACAAAGTTATAGGAAGAGGTTGGATACATGGCGTTCGAATATGTTATATTTCTTACAAATCTCTTAAAAAGCTGTATTGCCAATACAAATGTAATTTGTCCACATACTTTTTTACACGATAATACAGCTTGTGCAGTAGTATGTTCTTAGATATCTATATAGAAGATGAAACTACTCTAGAAACTGTAAGTCTAAGATAAAACAACCCTTAATCAGCTACCGGCTGTTGAAATGTGAACTAACTAGAAACCTACAAAGAAAAGCACAAATATGGCATTCCGAAGTAAGCTTAAATTGCAGAGCGCAAGTGCACTTACACTTTGAGCCACAGGATGTCGTTGTTCTCCAACAAGAGCGCTAACAGAAGAAAATCAGACCATCTGCAGACCGGAAAGAAGCTGGCCCCGTGCTTTAAAGATTATAAACAGCACCTACATTGTTGCGATTATCCTGCAGCAAGAATACTACTACTACTGCTAATAATAATAAAATAAAATCTCAAAGAGACTATGTCTTTTGTCGCCATGACATACTGCCAGGGATCCTGGTGCCTGCTGCCCTTGCTTCTGCTGTTCACAATCTGGGAGGCAGGGAGCGGCCAGCTCCACTACTCCGTCCCCGAGGAGGCCAAACACGGAACCTTCGTGGGCCGCATCGCTCAGGACCTGGGGCTAGAGCTGGCGGAGCTGGTGCCCCGCCTGTTCAGGGTGGCGTCCAAGGACCGCGGGGACCTTCTGGAGGTAAATCTGCAGAATGGCATTTTGTTTGTGAATTCTCGGATCGACCGGGAGGCGTTGTGCGGGCGGAGCTTGGAGTGTAGCATCCACCTGGAGGTGATCGTGGACCGGCCGCTGCAGGTTTTCCACGTGGAGGTGGAGGTGAGGGACATTAACGACAATCCGCCCGTGTTTCCTCTTAGAGAACAAAAGCTGCTGATTTATGAATCCAAGCAACCAGACTCGCGTTTTCCGCTAGAGGGAGCATCTGATGCCGACATAGGGGAGAATGCTGTATTGGTCTATAGATTAAGTCAAAACGAGTATTTTTCTTTAGAATCACCTACAAATAGCAAGCAGACTAAAAGACCGTCACTTATATTAAAGAAGACGCTGGATCGGGAGAAAACCCCGGAACTTAATTTGCTACTGACAGCCTCAGATGGGGGAAAGCCGGAACTCACTGGTACAGTTCAGCTTTGGGTTCGTGTTTTAGATGTTAACGACAATGACCCGGAGTTCGATCATTTAGAATACAAGGTAAGAATAATGGAAAATGCTGCCAACGAAACTCTTGTCATAAAGTTAAACGCCACAGATCAAGACGAAGGTGTGAACGGGCAACTGGAGTACTCTTTGATGTCAATCAAGCCCAGTGGAAGGTCTTTATTTACACTAGATGAAAACAACGGAGAATTGAGGGTCAACGGAACTTTAGATTATGAAGCAAACAAGTTTTATGAAATTGAAGTGTTGGCTACGGATAAGGGGAACCCCCCAATGGTAGGTCACTGTACGGTCTCGGTAGAAATCTTAGACATCAATGACAATGCCCCTGAAGTGACACTGACTTCCCTGTCCCTCCCAGTAAGAGAGGATGCTCAGCCAAACACAGTCATTGCTTTGATTAGCGTATCCGACCTTGACTCTGGAGTCAACGGCCAAGTGACCTGCTCTCTCACACCCAATGTACCCTTCAAGATCGTATCTACCTTTAAGAACTATTATTCCCTGGTATTGGATAGCAGCCTGGACCGCGAGAGGGTGCCAGCCTATGATTTGCTTGTGACAGCCCGGGATGGGGGCTCACCCTCACTGTGGACCACC